GATGACGTCCAGTAGTGTAAGCCACTCCGAGGTTCCCAGGAGCCCAAGACGTAGTCCCTGCAAGAAAACCCAATTCAGACTTCACTTTGATCAGGAGGTCCCTAGAGTTGGCGGCAACAAACATCTTCCGCTCCGAGAGCGGCACGCGCAGGGTGGTGGAGATGTGGTAGGCCAGCGTAGTAGCCAACCCTTTGAGCTGGCAAATACACTCTTGCATGCTAGTACTCCAGCTATGAAGCGACAAATCATCAACATGGAGTCCCTGGCTGGTCCCTTCGAAAACTCTCCCACTGACGACCGTATCCCAGAGAAACGACTTCGCTTCATATGTAGCTGAAGTGCTGCCTGCCACTATGCCTTGCGTCGGGAACAGCGGCGGCGAGTACGCTCCGTCTAGCAACAAGTGGCGCCTCCACCTATACGTGGAGAGTGTGTACAGCATGACGTGCATGGGGAAATGGCTGATGATGCCCTGCCTAACTAGCTCCTCGTGGCCTATGTGCTCATAGAACTGCATGAGGTCCCACAGGAGGCTGGCCCAGTGGATCTTCTCCCCTGAGGCTCTCTCTGAAGCCACAGACTGTCTCCAAACAATGTCTAAACTGCTCCTTCCTTGGCCCATGCTGAACTCGGGCCCAAGGCCGACTTGGGCCTCCCAACTTCGGCACGGGTCTCGATGTGTTTTTCCATGCAAGCGTTCGAAGGCGTGGTAGTGGCCAATGGGCCTGCGGCCCTTGTCAGGTCTCCCCATAAGGAACACCGCCAATGACTGGGACTGCGTTGGTCCCTCCCCCACAACGTCCATCAAGTGGTACATCCAAGATAGACGAGACAGCGCGGACTCCCCAAGCATGCTGAAGTGCCTCGGGTGGAAGCCGTCGGGGCAGCAGGTGTTCTGGGGGAACCTCGAGCTAATGTGCCGAAGACGTTCGCCTGGAACAGGTCCTGGGACGTGCATGGGGAAATCGCATCCCTGAGGCAGCCCGAGGTCAAGAGGGTCCCTGGAGGCTTTCCACGCTGCACCCCAGGCGTCTGTCTCGGCTATTAGTCTCGCAGGCAAAGAGCTAGAAAAACTGTCAGCAGTACGTGCAACTTCTTCGTGCACAGGCTCGCCAGCACGCAGATAAGCATAAGCTTGCCTCCCTCCTTTGCTGATAGCCTCGCCGCACCAAGTTTTCCAAGATTCTCTGGCTTGTGTTCTATCTTCAAGTTGCCCCAAGCAAACCCATGGTTCGACAAACAATTGGAAACTGTCGAGGAAATTGATGGAACTCTCAGGGCACTTTTGCTGTAAGAGGCAGTCAGCAACTGAGGCTAGTAGCGGATGCCAATACTTGCCACCTTCTTTCCAGAATCGGCGAAAAGGTCCCCCTCGTTGAGGAAGATCGCGCCACTGGTGAAGGAGCAGAGAGCGATACTGCACCTTGAAATCAGGCCGAGCGAAAAGTGATCTCAACTCCTTCACACGCAGATAAACCCACTGGATGGTTCTCCCTGGAAACGATGCAGAACGCTTCTTCGTGGCAAGGAGTTCAGACAGCCTGGTCTTGACAAACTGGAGAGCAGCGCCTCCAGGCAAACCTGTCCCCTTGACCTGAGTGGCTGCAACAACTTCTTTCCAAGCCCGTGGAATCCAAGCCTCGTAGACACGATTTCGAAGCTCCACTCCACGACTCTTTTCGTTTCCTACAGCCATGAACGTCGACCCCGCGTCATTCAACCTGGGCTCAAGGAACGCCTTCAGGTCGTCTTCCAGATCAGTGAAATCCCCTCCAGGAGGGACGGGGCCAATACCAGGGCAGGCGGGAGCCTTGAGGTACCTCTTGGGCACATCAACAAAGATGTCCTGGATCGCCCGCTGGATGTGAAGCTGGACAGGTCTGTGGGGGCTGAAGGGGGCACTGTAGTCGGTCCTAACCCATGGCACAGCGTGATCCAGATTCCTATGCAGGACGAAGAAGTCGATGGTGGAGGATCCTTGGGGCACAGCATAGGTGGGGACCTCGGGAGCCCGAATGACAGCTGAGACCTGGCCCATCGGGGATCCGTCGAAGAACACACTAGGGCTCATGTTGAAATCTCCTCCAAGGACATATGGGAGCCCATGTTGAAAAACATCCTTCCAGACAGCATTCATGATGCTGGTGTTGTACCCCCTGAGGCCCTCGGAGTCCTTTTAAATAGATCGAGTAGATGGCGAAAAGGCCCAATTCACCGCTGCGGAAAAATGCTCGCGCAACTCTGCCTGGCCAAAGCTCAGCAGACTCACCAGGCGGCGCCCACGCGTCGTAGTGCTTCCTGGTGCAAATAAATGTGCCACCAGACGGGTGGCCACTCTCTGACTTGATGCACTCACAACCAAATATCCTCCAACCAGCTCGCTGAAGTCTGGCAACGGTCCGTCGATAGAGAGCTCCATGCAGCTTGTGCTCCTGTAATAACACCACGTCTGCGGAAGTCTCCCTCATCAAATCATTAAAGCCAGGCGTAGACTTATCCCGACTTTCCATTGATTCACTCTCTCGTGACTCAGTAATCCAGCTAGACCCATTGAAAGTGACAAAGTCCAAATCCCGCTTCACGTCAGAAGATTTAATACGCTGGCATCTCTCTCCTGACGTCAAATCACTATTGGTACAAGTAATAGACCCTGAAGCTGGTGCAGAGCACGTGATCTGCGATCCACTCCCAGCAACCGTTCCACCGCATCTCGATGTCTGTGGCAAAGATGACCCAGCCGTCGAGGACAATGATGCACACGTGGATCTGGGAGTCCATGGCCTGACACCCTCATCAGGGCCTGTGGCCTCTGGGGGGCAGGCACAATCATGCAAATCGGAACTGGGTTCCGAACGTGAAGTGGCAGGGCCCGCAGAGGTACATGTCCCTCGCAGTGAGGGTGTGGGCAACTGGCTAGAGATCTTCTCCAGCCCCTCCAGCCTCCTCCCACAACTTATCTTCAGCAGCAGATCCCGTCCGCGACTGAGCAACCCCAAAACTTGGCTCGATATGTGGCCCGCGCTGTCCACCTGCAGCTGGGGAACGAAAACGTGGCTTCTTGGCAGCCACTCTGAGGTTGTCGAAAAGCTGCCTCTTGATCGCATCCGAGCACCCCTCGACTGCTTCGACAGCCTCGATGATGATGGTCTCGTCGACCTCCATAGTAGTGGCTGCTGGAGGTGACGCTGGGGCTGGCCTCTCTGGGCCTGGCATTGCGGTCCGCAGCTCATCAAGAAATATCCGATACTTGTCTCCCAGTGAAGACCGTAACTCATCAGATTGTACACCAGAGAGAGTGGCCGTGAAACCCGATAACTGCTGAACGAAACCCTCGAGACTTGGTGGGGCAGAACCCCCCACCGTGGGTAGTGCTGCTGCAGCCTTCGCTGCAGTCTCCTTCTTGAGATTCTCGAGAGCCTCTTCTTCTGACTTGACAAGATACGTGAGCTCCTCCTTCTTGGTGAGCAGCTCCTCCACTTGGACTTCGATTGCCTCGAGGTCCGACTTGAGTTTGTTGATCCTCTTCTCGGCCTTCTGCTGGTCCTGCTCAGCACGGAGCAACACTCTGGATGGCGGCACAGAAGCACGGCGTTCGGCTTGAGCCATTTCCCAAGCTTGAGAGATCGCGGCACAGGACGCATCTGGTAAAACTCCCTTGAGCTTTCCTCCCGAGACGAGTTGGGACAGGCGGTGAAGCTCGTCATGTGCAGACACACTGTTCCTGGGCGGCTTCCGATCGACGTCCGTTGGGCCTCCACCTTTGCCTTTCCCATATCTTTCTTTGACTCCTTTAGAACCTTTCCCGCCAAGCTTACCACCCTTGCCACCTCCGACGACAGAGACCCACGGGGCGTAAGTCCACTCACGACGAGGAGGAGGAGCACCAAGCTTCGGCAGCGTTTGTTTGCAATGGTAGCAGAACGAGAAGTACGACGGGTTCTTCCTGCAGCCGCAGCTGGGGCATACAACCCCTCCACCGCGCTCATAAGAATCACCACCTGGGGCCATCCCACGCGAGGCGGGCGGCCGACGAAGTGGACACTGGGGTCCACACGCGAAGCGGGCACTATGGGGGCCCTTCCCGAAAGCGACAAAAAGGCTGAACCCCTTGACCGAGGTTGGGAAGTTAAGGAGCAGGCCCCTTGAGCCAAAATGGCTACGGCTCTCTCCTCCTCTTCCTCTTCCTCCTCCTCCTCCTCCTCCTCCTCCTCCTCCTCCTCCCCTCCTCCTCCTCCTCCTCCTCCTCCTCCTCCTCCTCCTCCTCCTCCTCCTCCCCCTACTCCCCCTCCCTCTCCTCCTCCTCCTCCTTCTCCTCCCCCTCCTCTTCCTATTCCTCCTCCTCCTCCCCTCCCATCCCCCCCCACGTCGAGGCGGACAGCGCACCCTTAGGCAGAACGCCCCGTGGTGAATGACTACCTACCAGACCGCCCCAACCCAACCCGAAGACCCCGATTTCGGGTGGGGGGGGGGCGGGCTTCACATGTGTGTTTTCCCCAGGTTCCCCGATCCCCCCCCCACCATGACATGGAGGGCAACTCGGGGCCTTCTGGTTGGGCTGGGGTGGCTTGGTGGGCGGTGATGAACGCTCACCCAGTGCCAGACCACCCAAGGGCTCCCCACTTCGCGCTTCGCGTTGCGCGAAGCGCGAATAGCTTCGCGCTCTCGCGCGGCCTCCCAGGGAATAAAGGAGGATGAGGAGGAATCGGAGCCGAACCGCGAAGCGCGAAGAACTTCGCGCCCTCGAGGGCGCCCCTTGAGACCCGGCGGGCGCAGGCCTGCGGAAGATCTGCGCGGCCGCCGCGCGCCCCGCCGAGAGCCCGGGGGTGAACGGGCAGTTCGCTCCTCGGCCCGGCAGGTGCGGGGCCTCCATCGAGCTCCGGCCGTCCCCGCCCCCGCCGCCCCCGACCCACGGCAGCGGCGATGCGCCGGCAAAGGGCGGCGAGGGCGGCCAGGGGAGCAGGGCGGAGGGCGGGGGGCGTGGACGGGGCGCGTGGGCGGACCGCGGTCTCGCAGACGAGGTGCGTGACGGAGGGGCTCTTCAGCTCCCCCACCTCGGGAGCGTGCGGTCGTCGTCGTCGTCGATCTCTTCCTCCTCCCCTCCTCCGGGGCAAGAAGGATGCAATGGCGCGAGAGGCTCAGGGTACGCTCCAAGATGTCCGAGATATCCAGAGGCCATGTCTCTACATTATTTATGATTGTATGTTTGTGCGTGTTATATGTACCCCATTCAGCCTTCCCTGCTTCCACCTCACCTCCTCCTCTTCCCCGATCTTGGGATCCTGCCTCGTGCTGCGGGTGGGCCAGGAGCAGCTGGGGGGGCGAACAAAAGAGAGGGAGGGAGGAGCGATGGAAGAGAGAGGGAGAGAGAGAGAGAGAGATGACACACACAAAAACAATAACAACTGATGACGGAGGCGGGATGCACTGTCAACCCGTATGGTAAGGACACACGATAAGGATGCAAGGGCCTTGAAAGACCATGTCGAGCGGCCAAGCATGGGCCGAAGGGATGGGATGCAAGAGTGACCTTGGAAATCACGTTCCTTCTTACTACGCAGGTTGACTGTAAGCCGGATGATGATGATACTGACGATGATGGTACTGATAAATAAAATGCTGTTGATGATGATGACGATGGCGATGATAACGATAATGATGAGGATGATAATGAAGATGACGATGAGACGGGGGCAACACCAGTCTCAATGATGCTGAGACTTCGGCCGCGTACCGTCACTGGTTACTAATCGGCCTTCCGGTGTGGTCGGCGCGAAAAATCCTCCTGCGTCTCGCAGGGGGCATGATAGAACACCTTACCTAGGATCCTACCTGGTGACAAGGGGGGGGATACGAACGAGGATGCGGAGGAGACACATCCTGCTGCTCGACGCCCTGATCCTTCGCTCTGGCACTGTGCCCCCTGGCACGTGAAGCTTGGAATAATGCCAGGGGCTGCCTGGCAGTGGGAGACAAGGAGAGGCAGACAGAGAGAGACAGAGAGGATGAGGGAGGAGGGAGGAGAGAGGACCGTAGGAAACACGTATCCGCCCCAACTTTGCGCTGGGCCGCGCGCACCGCTGCGCACTTGTGCACTCAGGTGTCGCTTGGCACGTACGTGGCACCACGGGTACCAGTCCTGGAGCCCCTTGCTGCAACGCCAGGCGGAGGTCGACTGTATCTCAGCACGGGGTCGTTTGCTTCGTATCCTGGAGGTCTGGGTCTCGATGGCGCGAGGTCCTACGAGGCAGACGTGTAGCGCTTGCTCAAGCCTGGCCAACACTCGTCGGGGCGTTGCCTGGCCTTCACCATTGCTCTGAGCACCCGTCCTTGCGTGCTCTGCAGATGTCGATCCTGCTCCACTGCAACCGCCCATGCACCCAGAGCCATGTACAGTCAACCCATGTAATAAGGACTCCCGAAACGATGCAAGGGCCGTGGAAGGCAATGCCGACTTTTTGCGAGCGGGGCTAGGCCAGCGACAGCGGCCAAGGATTGGCCGAAGGGGAAGGATGAAAGGCTTACCTTGAAACGTCGCTCATCCTCACCATGCGGGTTGACTGCAATACACAAGGTGCAGAAGATGCCAGCCGCATGCGATAGTGCAACTGGTCACGATGGTGGCACAGCAAGAACAAGGGACATTAACGTGTTGCGAACGCTGTCCAACCGCACCCAAGTCAGTGGCGCAACTCCGCGTCGTGGTGTGGACTGTCTGGCACGGCATCCGTAATCTTTAATGAAGGGGCCCCGGGACACACAAACAAATAGACACGACTAACAGGATCCTCCACAGCTTCCCATATTTTCTGGGTTTTCGTCTTCCCCCCCCCCACTTCCCACATTCTCCCATCTTCTCCCTGGGAGTCGACGATTCATTGCGTCTGTGTGTTTTTCCCCTCCCGATGTGCGGCCTCCCTCTGCCCCCCGCCGACTTCTGCGCACCCCCCTCCCTTCCCCAGGCCGCAGACGCCGGGCAGCAAAAACACGCGCTGGCCCTCGTGTGGCGCGGTGCATGCGCGCTCCCGAGGCCACGACCCCTCGCACGAAGGAGGGTCCGCGCCCCCGAGGCCACCAGGACGGCAGCAGGCAAGCAGGGTCGCACAGACGGTCTGATGCTCCTGCAAGACAAGCCCGCCGCGAGACGGCCCAAGCGTGCCGCAAGAGGACCCTCAATAAAACCCGAACCATACAAACCATCTTCAAATGCACATGTGCATACACATATATATATATATATTTATATACACATGCATATACATACAATCCAAAAGCATCTTGGGTACCATGGCATGGCTGGGATTCCTTCAGCTCCAGACGGCACTAGAGGCCTCCAAGATGGCCTCAGAAGGCCTCAAGACAGCCCGATGCGGCCCCTAGACGGCCAAGGGCGGCCCCAAGGGAGCCCCATGCCCCAGAGTGTCAAAGAGTCCCCGACAGCAACAGGTGCCCCAAGGACGGACCCACGACGGCCGCACGAGACACCCGAGACAGCCGAGAGGAACCCAAGACGGCCCAAGAACGCCCCACGACGGCCCCAAGGCAACCCAAAGTGGCCCAGGGGACCCCCAAGACTGCCCCACAGGAGGCCCCAAACAAGCAGTTAAGCGAAGCCACGCGTGCACTAAACGGAGAGGGAGGAAGAGGAGGAGGAAGGAAGACGAGGACGGGGGAAGGACAAAGATGATATCTTTCAATGGCAAAACGGCCACGCGCACCACCCTGAAGGCGCGGGTCCGGCGGGACGCCGCGCCGCCCGCGCGCGCGCCCAGTGGCGCGCGCGCGCGTTCTGGCACGCCCTGCTGCCGCACGGATCTGGTGCCGAGCGGAGCAGGGTGCACAGGGAGCGAAGCGGGGTGGGTGGGCACCCGAGTCCTGGCTCGAACTCGAGCCAACGACTGCGGACCCAAAATGGCTATGGCAAAGCCCCCGCTTCCCTACGCTTAACCTGCAGTCTACCAACATCACAGACTATACAAGTTAAGCGAAGCCACGCGTGCACTAAACGGAGAGGGAGGAAGAGGAGGAGGAAGGAAGACGAGGGCGGGGGAAGGACAATGATGATATCTTTCAATGGCAAAGCGGCCACGCGCACCACCCTGAAGGCGCGGGCCCGGCGGGGCGCCGCGCCGCCCGCGCGCGCGCCCAGTGGCGCGCGCGCGTTCTGGCACGCCCTGCTGCCGCACGGCCAAAACCAAAAGAACGCAGCCGCGCGCGGGCGAAGGACGCCCGGGCGCGCGACCACTGGCCTGCAAGCCTGAGGCCTTCCTGGAGCGGGCGCCAGGCCGCCCCGGCTGGGCAGCGCCCCGCCGGCGGCGTGCAACGCGCGCCCGAGCTGGCCCCTACGGCCTCGCCCAGGCGTGGGGGGCTAAACGCTCCCCAGGGCCGCGCGCCGCCGGCCCGCCGGCGCGGGATCGCGCCCGCGAAAGGCGCTAGCCGCGCGCGTCGCGCCGGACGCGACATAGAACACGCAGAGAGCGAGCGCGCGCGTGCGAAAGCACACGCGCGAGCTGGAGGTGCAAGCTGGCTGCAGCCCAGAGGGCGCCACGTGGCCCGAGCAGCCCGTCGCTCCCCCCGGTCCTCCTCCTTCTAATCCCCGTCGTCGGGCGGTTCCCCTGTGGCGGTCAGCGCGCGGCCCTCGATGCCCCATGCTGCCGGCGAACATGTCAACGTAGGTCGATCCGCTCGTCCCCGTCGTCGCGCCCTTCGGCATCCTCGTCGAGTAGGCCCTCGGCTGCCAGCTGCACCTCGACCAGGCCCTCCCGACACCAGGCGGCGTCGCCAGGCAGCTGGCGCAAACGGCCTCGCCGTCCGCCCCGCGGCCCTCAGCGGGCCCCCGGGCCGACTGTCGCGGGATCCGTAAGAGGCAAGCAACGCACCCGGTATGAGCGAGCAAGTGATGCGAGCAATGTAGCCACTGCTCCCTCGCTCGAGCTCGCCCAGCGGCCGCAAGAACTGCGCCACTGCGTCGTTGAACACTGCAATGCCCGTGAGCACCGGCATGTCGTCGAGCACCCGAGCGCCCTTGCAGCTGCGCACGCCCTTGAACACAAACACGTCGCCGATCAGCGCGCCGTCGAGCGCAGGCACGCTCGTGACCTCGTGCGTGCCCCGGGAACTGAGCGCGCGTGTGAACACGACCACATCCCCGTGGCCCTCGACGAAGAGCAGGTTTGCCGCCGTGACTGCGCCCCTGAGGCTGGTCCCCTCGCGGCCGGGCCCAGCTGGGCCCTGTCTCACGGACGAGCATACCTTCGCCGCTGGAACCTCGCCCCAAGGGCTGGTCCCCTCGCGGCCTGGCCCAATATCGGCGTGGCCATCCACCAACAGGCCGCCCGCCGCTGGAACCCCGCCCCCTGGGCGTGTCCCTCCGCGGCCGGGCCCGGCAGGGCCATGTCCCGCGGTAGACTGCGGGTTGTCGCAGGCGGCTGCGGATAAGGTAATACAAACGAAGCACGCCCACTGCAAGCACGGCCCCTCCAGGAGTACCATCACGCAGTGGGGAATGCCAAGAACGCCCGGGAACACCGTCGCGCCGTTGGCCACAGGCACGCCCGTGCGCACCTGCATGCCGTCGAGCCTCGGGAAGCTCGTGACCTCGAGCGCGCCCTGGGGCAGGAGCGCGGCCGTGAGCCGGACCACCGTGCGCATCTGCATGCCGTCGAGCCTCGACAAGCTCGTGACCTCGAGCGCGCCCTGGGGCAGGAGAGCGGCCGCGAACCGGACCACGTCCTTGAGCACCGCGCTGTGGAGCAGAGCTTCGCCCC